TCATTTAATATGTAAGGAGCAAGAAAAAAATCAAGGAAATGGTCAGTACATTAATGAGAGAAGATGGCAAGAAGATGAGCAGTGCAGCAGGGAGTCAGTGGAACTGGTTAATTCCTTCTTTGCATCTATTTTTATGCAAAAAGAAGAGTTCTTGAAAAGGTAGGTACTACATACACATTTTTAATGGAAATTGAAAATTTGGATATTATATATTTGGGAGAAACTATCCATTGTCTCAGTTTTGACAGACAATGAAACATGATTGGACACCTCGAAGTTGGGAGATTATATAGAAGAAATCCATGTATAATCTTTCTGAACTCAGAGCCATGGCCATCTTGCAACTAAGGGCATCAGGAATTAGAGGTATGCACAAAATGAAAAATATGTTTATTCTGTGCCTAGGGGTTCCAGTTGGCCCATGATTTCAGTACCTTCTTTCTTCTTCCTTTCACTATTGCTTCTACCACCCTTGAATTTAAACCCAGCATAAGCCTCCCGGCCTTCTCATTTCTTTCACAGATCCTTCCAGGATCTTCCCCTACCTGTCCTTTCTTTACTGCCCTGTGCTATGCACTATACATTGCTCTGTTCACTTCTGGCTCTGTCTTTTCCCTGTTACCTTCCACCCCAGAACATCTATGCCTAGGAGAAGTGTGTTCTGGATCAATGCCTGGAACAAAGGTGTATATTCTGACTTTTTTCCTGACATGTACATTCCCCCTCCCCCAATTTAACTATAGGGTTCCGGAATTTTGTATTCTACATACAGACAGTCCATGACTAATGACCATAATTGCCCAACATTTTTCTGTACCTAAGAAGACAGATATTTAGTAAGTTTTGCTCCATTTTACAACATTTCTTGCCACCGATGTTAAGTGAATTACGGCAGTTGTTAAGTTAGTAATATGATTATTAGGGGATTCTGGCTGCCCATTGATTTTGTTTGTCAGAAGTTTGCATAAGTGATCACATGAACTTGGAACATTGCAACCATCATAAATATGAATCTGTTGCCAAGCATCTGAATTGTGATCATGTGGCCATGGGGATGCTGCAATGGTCGTAAGCAGAGGTGGGCTTCAGCCAGTTTGGACCGGTTTGGGCAAACCGGTTGTTAAATTTGCACCAATGGTTGGCCCCGCCTTGCCCGCCTTGGCCGATGCCTAGAGTCATGCCCACGGCATAGCTGCTGCTGCTCTCTGTTTCCCTTACTCACTTGCCTCAACCACATGGTTCCCGTGCATGGCCTACCTTTCTGCCTCAGGTAACTGCCTTCCATGATATCTGCTCCTCAACCTGCTGCCTCCCCAATGCCCCCACCCAGCTTTCTGCTGCCTGAACTACCTGCCTGTGTCTTTCCCGATCTCCACAGGTTTCCCCCCACTCCCAGCGTGCCCTACCTTTCTAGTCCATTTCTGCTGCCCATGCTTTCAGGGCACACAATCTACCCTTCAAGTTCCCAATGCCCGAACCAAGGAGCTGGAAGAGAGATTTGCAATTGTGCTGGTGATATGGACCAAGTGGGCTTTTTGCTTCCTCCCCACCTCCCCATCGCGATCCAGCATGGTGCAGACAGCTGATTGGAGGCAGAAAATGGGGCGTTTCCATCAGCCCTTCTCTTTTTTCCCCCCAGCCTCCTTTTGCCAGCATAGGCTCGGCAGGCAATTGCGATTTTTAGATGGACTTTTATTTGTCAGCCCAAGGGGTGGGGGGAAGGGGCTCAGAATGGTACGTAGGAAATCGCCCTGTCTCTGCAGCATTGGCCCGCCTGCACTGCCCCACCTTGCTGTAAATGACATTGAATTGACCATGCCCACTCAATCACATGACCACCCAGCCACGCCCACTAAGTCATTTCTACCCAGCCAGTCATTAGGGCAGAGAACTGGTTGTTAAAAAAATTGAATCCCACCACTGGTCTTAAGTGCGAAAAGTGGTCACAAGTCAATTTTTTCAGTGCCTCTGTAACTTCAAATGATCATTAAATGAATAGTTGTAAGTCAAGGACTACCTGTACAGAACCTTTTTCACAGGCACACCGAGTATGATATTGTTTAAAAAAAAAAGCCATAGTCTACTACCACCAAGATCTGCGCCCACAGCAGCTCCACCTAGGCCTGCACCCTAGCCTTCAAGGGTTACCACGGCAGTCCTCCTACTCATTGTGGCCTAGCCCCTGGGGTGTGCTTTGCTGGCAATGGCCGGGTATGGGCCTGATGCTCCAGTGCCATCCATTTTCAGTGCTTAGTCATAAGATAGCAAGCATCTTATCTAAATCAAGAACTAAAGAACTTAATGCAACTGACTCGAACCATCTTGAATGACTGATTAAACAAAAAGGCAGGCAAATAACTAAATAATCAGTTGAGCAAAATCAGAGAGGAAAAAATATTGTAAAATTATGTAATATCCTCTGACTGTTCACCACCCTGAGTCCTTCGGGAGAAGGGCGGTATAAAAATTAAATGAATAAAATAAATAAATAAAATTTAATATTATAAGTGGCATCTGAAATTATCTCCAATTTTAAAAATGGTTTTCAGGATGATGCAAGAATCATATTAAAGAGAAAACTATGAAGTCCTATGAAGTTTGGCTGAATTCAATTTTTAAAAAATATCATGGCCTTTATTCACTCTTTAGCAAACCACTATTCAAGAGATAGCACAATTCTATCACATTGAGTATATGATTTTGTGCTTGAACATTGAAACCATTATCTCTATTCTAAACTGTCATATAATGCACTTTTGCTATATTAATAGCATAAGATACTTTTGAGAACATTTTTCTCTTTATTGCATTATTAATTTTGTAGATTTCAAGAATATTTTTTAAAGGGGAGAAAGGCTTCAATCCATTTAACTACTGTATATCAAACATGCTCACGGTTGTCAAAGGTTTTTCTCATTCTTCATGCCTCATTGTTGATAATTATTACAAAGACAGAGCTCTGTGGAAAAGGCTCTATTGCTAAGAAAGGGGGAAAACTAGAAAAGCACAACCAGCAACAAGGTGGGGTGTTATAGTGGAAATATATGTACCTCTGGGAGATCTGAAAGAACAGGTTAGTAATAGAATATCATGGGGAAGATCTATCTATATGATCATAAAGAATCAAAAACTCCTTAATGGCACATCTAAGGATTCCTTAGATGAAGTAATAATAAAGAGGCCCCTTATGAGGGAGATGGGTGGTTAAGAAGATTAATAAATAAATAAATTAAATAATTACCATTACCTAATTGCAAGGCAATAATAATTTGTAGTACAGATCTGTTTTAATGCAATGACACCTGCATTTATGGAACACTAGTGTGCTTACTTACAAAGAAATCTTCTCTGTTAGTTACATTAGTTTCTTGGAATTCTCTCCCCATGAAATCACTGAAGTGCCTACTCCTATGTTTTTTAGGCACCTAATCAAGACCCATCTCTTCATCAAGGATTTCTTCATGTGAATGTTATAGAGTAGGAGTCTTCAACCCTCGGTTGGCAGACCGGCACCAGTCTGTGACCCGTTGGGAAATGGGCTGCACAAGCAGCAGGTGAGAGCATGAAGCTCCCCATTTGCACAAGTGGCGTACATGAAACCCTCCCCTCCTCGCTGTTGCCATTGCCCCTGCTAGTCCACAGAGCCAGAAAAATTGGGGACCACTGTTATATACATGACTTGTATAACTAGTTTTTCTTTCTTTTCTGTAACCTATTTTTTAAAATAAACTAATCTTTGCAGAACAGTGACAAAACTCACCTGCCATTATCTTTTATTTATTTATTTATTATTTATTATTTGTATTTCTATGCCCCCCACTCTCCGAGGACTCTTAGTATACCAAAGACAGTATACTAAATAGCATATTGCCCCCAACAATCTGGGTCCTCATTTTACTCACCTTGGAAGGATTGAAGGCTGAGTCAACCTTGAGCCAGTGAGATTTGATCCGCTGATCTGCTGAACTGCAGTCAGCTGAAGTAGCTGCAGTACTGCACTCTAACCATTGCGCCACCTCGGCTCTTTACATATTTAAGATTTCGATCTTGGATGGTGTCTGCACTCGTGTGCTAAGATTAATAATTATATGTTCCCTTTGAAATCTATCCTATGCTTCGGTATATACAGTATCATGCACCACACTATTACCAGAGAAATAAGATTGCCGGTTGGGACTTGCATTCATACTCTGCCACGTTACCATATTTTTTGGAGTGTAAGACGCACCTGAGTATAAGATGCAGATTAGTTTTTTGGGAAGAAAATAGGAAAAGTAAAAATCTGCCTACTAGCTATTCTTCTGGCTAGCATCCTTAGTCTGGTCAGCTTCAGCACATTAGTTTGCTGGTTTTGAGCGTGTGTGTGCACTTGGGGATTATAAAAAGCTTCTGAAGCACAGCTGAGAGTCGGAGAGAGCAGGCAAAGCACTGAGATTGCTTCACTCGCTAGTGCCTCGTTAGGGCTGAAAAAATCTTCTAAAGCACAGCTGAGAGTCGGAGGGAGCAGACAAAGCATGGAAGATCGCTTCACTCGCTAGCGTTAGGGCTGAAAAAAAGCTTTGAAAAACCTACATTTGGAATATAAAACACACCCAAATTTTCAGTCTCTTTTGGGGGGGGGGGGAAGTGCATCTTATACTCAAAAAAATACAGTAAATATGGAAAAGCCCGTTGCTTTTGTCCTCAATTGTTTAAGTACAAAGTGCTTAGACCTTACTCATGGCTTACGCTTTCTTCTGTTTTGGGATCAACCTATTAATATAATAATGATAAATTTTGATGATTTTTTATAATCAGCAAGTTTTATATATGGCATAGTTTTGAAGAAATTAGACTACTTAACTCATGTCACTGATAAGTCTGAAGAAAATTAAGCCTGGTGGCCTAAAGTGGGAAGACTATGGTAAGGCTGAAATGATCCTGCAAAAATATTGGTCAGCTGATGATTTTCTCACAATCACAAATAAAGACCTGGGTAGTCAGTAATGAAAATGACTTACACACTGGGCTTGTTTTAAACTCAAATCTTCGACTGAAGCCACCATAACCGGCTGAGGTGCGAGCACGAATCTGGAAAATGTATGCTGAAGCCGGTTTCAAGCCACCTGCTGTAATTCTTGTCTGCTTGGATTTGATGATGGTATAACTGGTCTCCTGATCCTTTTTTGGTGCAACAACATACATGAACACACATATATAGAAGAATAAATTTCATAAATAGCAAGCACAACCATTGGGTCTGATTCTTGCCAATATTTTTATCTATGGTGATATAATTCATCACTTAGAAATTGGGTATAGGTTTATATCCTTCCCTTTCTTAACTATTAAAGTTGATATAGATTTATATCTGTATCTAAGTTTAAGCTAATAATAATTCTTTATTCAACTTTACAACCTAGCTTCATATTCTATTAACAGTTCCCTAACCTAGCATTAATTTTGATGCGCATGCAATGCATTTTAATAGTAAGAAAAGAGATACTTGTGCGGAAAAAAGAACATATAGCTTGTTCCATGGCTCTGCAAATAAGGGAACTCAAACTCTCCTGCATAATTTATATATCAGAAGGAACACACAAAACTCAGTTTTATATTTACTGTTAAAGTTATTATTAAATGGATGTATGTGCCTTTTGGTATTCACAGCATGAGAACTATTACATTAATGTAATAGTTTTAATGAGAAATATTATTGTGAAACTACTTTTAACGCAGATATAACACATAAATTTATAAAGATATTCCTGAGAGCTATCTGGTGAAACTAATTATATTTGTAATTTTATATTATTTATTATAAGAATTTTAATGAGATTTGAATCTAATTTCTTTTAAATGAAGCCCTGATGAAATGTGTCATTAAATATTATTATTATTATTATTATTATTATTATTATTATTATTATAATATTACATTTGAGTTTCATAAAAGGTAATAACTTCAGGATACCAAATATAATACTAAGCATAATAAAGTGTAATAATGTAGTATACTTAAGCTACTCTTAAATAACTGCATTTATCTTTAAAACATATCATATGATTAAACAAAAATTGCTTTACAAAATAATATGGTTGCAAGTTGGTCAAATTACTACTTCTAAATGAATTTTCAAATCAAATTCCCTATTGTTATCTCTCAGTTTCTTCATGATGTTCAGATTTGCATTTTTACAAACTTTAAAATCCTAAAAGCTGGCCATTCCAAGTTTACCCTTGCAATTCCAAGATATGTAAAAAAAATGCTCCCCTATGGTTAGAGACAGGTTTGATTTTGTGGGTTCCAAAGCCTGGTATTATCTCATTACATACTGATTATTTTTCCCACTTTAGAGCTGGCTTTACTGGTTCTCAGGCATCATTTTAAATCAACCAGTCTAACAAGAGTTAATAGCAAACTCCTCGTTAGTTTCATTTTTAGAGAAACTAAAGAGTTCTCTAGTTCAAAAGTTGCCAAGCATCATTCTAAGCAGCATATCTGGGATATTAATTTCCAAACCAATATAAGCCTAGCATGCAACTTCACATTTCATGGATTTTTCTCAAATAGGCAAGTGCCATTGCCTGAATTCCAATTCTGAATTTTCATTAAACCTTTGCCTTGACAAGTTTGGATGCACTACCCTCCAGAGTTCTATTTGGATGGCATAAAAACATCTCTCTTCAGCAGTGTTTATGCCCATGTGTGGATGGCTCTATGGAATTTGTAAGCCACCTACAGGATCTTAGAAAACATACCGTATTTTCCGGCGTATAAGACGACTGGGCATATAAGACGACTCCCGACTTTTCCTGTTAAAATATAGGGTTTGGGCTATACTCACCGTATAAGACTACCCCTCTTCCAACGCACACCAAATAAAAATTAAAAAACATCAACTGGCTCACCCACAATGTAAAAGCAGCTGTGCTAGACCCAAAATGGCCCCTGCAACAAGCAGGAACCTCACACAGCCACAAAAAGCCCAAAAAAACAACTTTCACACTTTACACACACAAAATTCCACATACATCTTTGTGAGATTTTGTGTGTTTGTGTAGTTAGAGTGAAACACTACAGAAACACACTAAATCTCAGAAAGCTGCACAAATATTATTTTATTTTTATTTTTATATGAAAACTAAATTTAAAACTTCCTAAACTTTAAATGGCTAGGTCTAAAAAAGAACAACTAAAAAAACCCCAATTAACTATTTTTTTTAAAGCTCCCAAAGGGGAAAAGAATTTACCCAATAGAACAGGGGTCTCCAACCTTGGCAACTTTAAGACTTGTAGACTTCAACTCCCAGAATTCCTCAGCCAGCTTTGTTTTGCTGGCTGAGGAATTCTGGGAGTTGAAGTCCACAACTCCTGCCTGCTTGATTGCAGGCAGGGAGTGGCTTGCTGATGGAATGGATTCAGGCAAGCAAAGCAAAGCAAGTGTTGCGATTAGCAACTAAGGTAAGCAAGCTGGAGGAGGAAAACTTTTTTCCTTTTACAGGGCTCTGGCGATCCCAGCTGAGTTGCCTGATTAGCAGGCAACTCAGCTGGGATCATCAGAGCGTGGATCAATGGCTCTGGCGATCCCAGCTGAGTTGCCTGATTGGCAGGCAACTCAGCTGGGATCGTCAGAGCTTGCAGAGCCACGTAAAAGGAAAAAAGTTTTTTCCTTTTACATGGCTCTGGCATCCCAGCTGAGTTGTCTGATTAGCAGGCAAAGCTGGGATCGTCAGAGCTTGGATCGCCAGAGCCATTTAAGGCTCGTCAGAATCTTTCGGGCTGGTCTGCCTGGTTACAGGAGAACGACACCCGGCGTATAAGATGACCCCCGACTTTTGAGAAGATTTTCATGTGTTAAAAAGTCGTCTTATACGCCGGAAAATACGGTATATAGATCCTATTTTAAAGAACTGCTCTAGTAGAGAGCACAACTCTTATGTCATTCCTTTTATTCACTCAGGACTATGATCTATCTTTCTATGTTGTCTGATTTTATCCCTCTATTTTTTTCTATTAATTCTACCTAAGTCTGAATATTAGTGCCAATTTAGTGATCACCACTGATATTCACATGATTACTATTATGTTTATTGTTATTTAATTTTATTGTATTTTCTACCTGCTTTTTAGTCTTGTTTCTATACAATGTTTTCAGAACTAAAGCTGTAATAAAAGTTTATTATTATCAGACCAAATTGAAAAAATATGTTCTGTGGCCACGTTCCCATCAGGGACACACCTTGTCTTCACATTATCCAGTCATCACTTAAAATGATAGGAAACCTGTCCTCATCATTATTATTTTGGCACAATGAAGGTAAGATGATTCTAGAAGATGCCATGATGAGCTTACATGTCAAGAAAAACTGCATTCTTTTCAATCAAATTGGTGAGTTTGAATTGGATCTTGGTCTGTATACCTCTTTCAAGAAAGATTTTGAAATATTTTTTCACAATAACTGGGAAGAAAGTGCTGGCAGAAAAGCACTGTATTTTGGTGAACAGTATAAAATGTCCCTGATTGTCAATAGTTAATAGGCAGCAATTTATAAAACTGTCCTTACTTGTTCTCTTCTGCTGCCTGTGCTATTAGTGATGCTTTTGTGTACTATGAACCAATGGGCAACTAAGCGTGCTTAACTTAACAATTTCTTTAAATTTGGGAATTACATCTTAATCATGTGGGACATGATTTAGAAATCTATAAAGCAAAGGCCCCATCATTTTCAATCAAACTGAAATTTGGAATTGTTAGTTGGGAAAGTAAAAACACTCAGAGATGCATGGAGCAACAAAAGCTACTTTTGTGGATTTTCTCTTTGTATTGTCCTGGCACTTTGAAACTAAAACATTTAACCAAGGTAGTTCCCAAAATAATAAAAATGGAAAAATGGAAAATGAGCGTAATTAATAAACAGAACTATGAAATCAGCAATTTTTAGTTTGAAGCTCTTTGCCAACAAAACACTACTGGCATTTTTAACTAAATACCCTACCATTTCATTATGTGGCACTGCTTTATTTTACAGGGCTTTTAATTATTTTTGTTAACTATTTTAAATAACTATATGATTTCTGGCAATATTCTCATGCTCATCTAATCTCAGTAATTAAACTCCAATTCTTGGAGGATGTCCCATTGAAGTATGGAAACTTTTGAGTATGACATTGTAGTGTACATCATCTTTATTTTAATGCAATATGATTGGAAATGAAACTGATACTAAAATGTTTTTTTTTTTGAGACAAATAATGTATTAATGAAAATATATGCCTATGCATGCATAAACATAAATGTTAAAAATTCCTAATCCAATATACTATTTGGCAGTAATTTAAAATAAGAAATACTTTTTAATACAAATCATTCCAAAAGAACAGAAGAGTAAAGAAATCAAAGTCAATATGATCTTGCAAACAGACTATCACACCTTTTCAAAATATTTGATTTCGTATTCCAGAATGATGCCATTGGGTCGATCTGGTTCCTGCCAGGAGAATGAAATGCTATTTTTGGCGACTTTCCCTTTTTTCACATTCGTGATTGGAGATGGTGCTGTCATATGAAACAAAAGAAGAAATCAAAAAGAAAATCAAAACTATTGTTTGATCAAATGGGAAATAAAAACAATTATTTTGAAAAGTTTAAAAAAATTGTAAACCTAGACCATCTTTCTGTTGTAGGTTGTTTCTTATTTCTGAGCAAAAATTACTGTAAATTAAGAACCGGACAGCTATCATCACTTGCAGGAGACTTAATATTTCCCACTCTTAACTAGAGTGTAGCTGGTTTCCTAATAAGAGCAACTTTTGTAGTTCAGATCTAGGTTAATGCTCTGTCCTTGCCCACCAGTAGTGGGTTCCTCTTATCTTCACTACCAGTTCGGAATATGCATGCACAGAGCGTCCGTAATGACGTCTGGGCTGGTGGGCGGAGCCTCCTGCTGCTGCCACTATCGGTTCACGTGAACCGGGGCGAACCTGTAGAAACCCACCACTTCTGCCCACCCAGACCAATTTAAATTCCAGTAATTTTATTAATCAAAACTGAGGGGGAATAGCTTTCAAAGAATCCAATAATTTAAGAAATGAATCTTACTATTTTAGGTAGCAGCTATACATTTTTGACTACAGGGTTTCTTTAATCCTTTTAGTGATAGTGAGTTTAGAGGACATGAGGCAATCAGAAAATATCATTACAATCATTACGTCTGAAATTTCCGGCCCTGGGTTCTTTAAAATGCATGTTATATGGTATTATATTTATACCATATACATACCATCTTTTTTTAAAAAGATAAAAATGTAAACAATGAATAATCTACCGGCACGATTCTAGAGCCCAGTCTATAAAAGTAGGACTAACTTAAAGGTCATTTAGCTCCAATATTTAGGAGGTTATTTTTACCCCTGGAAATGTACCCTTATCTAAAATGGTAGCAATTTTTTCTGAGCAACATTTCCATAGTGTTCTAATAGGAATTAGAAAGGTTTATTTCTATTGACAAGAGAAAATACAAGAACATGCAGGATTCTATTACGCCTAGCGTAAGAATTAACTGAACATATTCAAAGCTACGAAGTATCATGTTTTCCTTAATGTGAAAGTTTTTGCGTACATGTCAAGTTTGCACACTTCTACTTATCACTCCTTGCTCATCTTTCAAATAGTGAGGAAATGGAAATTCATTTTTCAAATGTAATGCTGTAACCTGAAACACTGGAATTAAGGAAACTCTTAGCATCTTCAAATGAAGATGAAGAAACTAGTATCTGTACTAGCAATTTTAGAAAATGAATGTATCTTGTCAAGAAAAATGCGTATAGTGGAAAATCCTAATTTCTCATTAAATCTGTATCTGATGCTATACCAGATATTTTTGCCATAATTTTTAATAACTGATTCTTAACGAGTATGAAAATATACAAAATATTTATTCTAGTAGAAGAAAAGAGATAGTTGATCGTTTTTGACTTAATGGTTTTTACTAAACTTAATTTCAGTAGAATTTTCTACAATTTATTTTGTTACTAATTTTATTTATTTATTAAATTTATATACCACCCATCTCCCAAATAATGTCATTTCCAATTCCTATTTTGTGATGTGAAACAGTTTTAGAAAGTTATGATATAGAATACAACAGCCAAAGCAAAAGAGTAGAATGAAAAACCTTAGGATGTGACATTGGATCAACAAAATTAACATTGTTATTATAGATGCAATCATCTTGATTTTAGCTATATTTGATTATTAAAATTCTATGGTTCTTTGCAAGCTTTTTAACTATCATGTGATGGTCTTTTTACTAATCTAAATTTTTAATGCTCTAAATTGCTCACATGTTTAGCAGAGATAATGCTGGATGGAGAGAATGGAATGAAGTTAAAAGGAAACAGTAACTATACACCTAGAGTACTTCAGAAGGGTACGAACTATACCCTTTTCCATCTTTGTAAAAAGACATGTTATATACTATAACTGCAAAATAAGGACCAATTAAGTATGTACAATTGATTTTTGTGGTTTTGGCATGTAATCATAGCTACTTTGCATCTTCTATACATTTAAATTACAAAATTCTGCATAAAATCTAAACCTTTTAGCTTGTCAAACAAAATGTAATACAATCTTTGCAGTCAAACAAAGTCTGCAATCATTCCATTTAAAAGCATGAAATGGAAGCCATGCAACCTGATCACAGGAAAAAAATAATGCTATGAAAGTTACATTTTAAAGGTCATTGGTTCTTACATGGACAATATCCCATGAATTAAAGGAATTACAAAAGCCAAATAAATGAACAATTTTTCTTTAATTGTGTACATGATATGTTTCCTTTTCTTTAACAGGGTTCTAGAATAACATACAAAATATTAAAATTGCACTTCACATATCAAAATCAGTATAATAAAACAAGAACACTAAAGCATCACAATAGAAAGGAGTAGCATCACTGATGAAATTAAAAATATATAAGAATAGTATAGAAGTTTAAAAACTTCTATACTAGATTAAAAAACTTTCAGCACCTTCACCTATTATTGAAACAATCTCAAATGCTAGATATATCTATTTAATGGGAATATCCCACATTAAGATGCTATTGATGAGTAAATCTTTGCCTTTGGTGTCAACTATAATTCCTCCAATTATAGCAGGAGCAATCTCTTTTGAAAATCTTAATACACAGACAGCCATTTAAAAAGCTCAGCAGTCCTTTGAATATTGCAGTGCTTATTTAAAGTTTAAAAGTTTATGCTAAATTGATTCTGGAAATGAACTATGAGTCAATGTAGTCAATAAAATAAAAACATAACCTTAGTGCTTATGTCTAGTAAGAGCATCACCACTGTATTTTGGATTAGCTTCAATTTCTAGTTTAGCATTGCATTGTAACACAAAACAACACAATCAAGTCTCTTATAGCATTTTTAATAACTAAATAGAGAAGTACAGGCTTGACAACTCAATGTAGGTGAATCCACAGTTGGGTCAAAGATTGTAGTCAAAAAATAGCTATAAAATTTATCAAATCTACCTAGAGAGACATCTCCAGTGGGTTGCCACAGGGCTTTGCTCTGGGCCTAGTGCTGTTCAACAGTTTTCTAAATGATATGGATGAGGTATTAGAATGCTTAGGGAATGCCTAGCAAAGAGGAGTGGCTAATATTTCTAAGAATGCACAAAAAAAAAAAACACACAAAAAAAACCCCAACAACTCCTCAATCAGGCTAGAATAATGTATGGAAACATACTGAAGTCATACATTTAAGTTAAACAAACAGGGCAAGATAGGAAAAATCTGACTCAAGACCAGCACATGTGGGAAGGTTTTGAGTGTACTAATGAATCACAAACTCAACATGCCACAACAGCTGCAAAGTAGATCAATACCATCTTGAGGTGCATCAAAAGGTGTGTACAGTCCAGATTGCAGGAAGTACCACGCCTATATGCATTACTCTGCCTTAGCCAGCCTTAATGTCAAGTATTGCATTCAGTTCTGCACACCAGTGTTTTTTTTTTTTTTTTAAAACTAGAACAGGTCCAGAAAATAGCTACAAAAATCATGAAAGGACTCAAAATGAAGTTCTATGAGTAACAATTGAAATGTTTAACTTGAGGAAGAGAAGATTGAAAGATACACATAGCTTTTTCAAAAATATGAATGGAGGATACATTGCAGATTTATTTCCACTTGCTCCAGTGGCTCTAATAGCAAGAAACAGAATTGCCTCAAACCATGAGATGGATGACAAATAAATTAAATCAACATAAATTAAAAACAACAGACAATGTAAATATATATTAGACATTAGGAAATAAGAAGTAAGAGTTCTCCATCAATGGAACAGATTATCATATAGTCCTGGTGGAGAACCTATGGCAGAGCCCTCTCTGTGGGCACATGCGCCGTTGCCCCAGCTCAGCTCCGTCGCGTTTTTCGCTATCATTTGCAGGGAAACAAAAGTTTGAGGGACTAAAAAAAAATGTGCAAAATAGCGTTCCGCCTTCATTGCAGTACATTCGCTATTGCTGCCCCCATGGCCTGCCCCCTACTCTCACAGAGCCTGGTGCAGTACACCATTTAGCACAGAGCAACATTGCAACCCTGTGTGGTCTTGGCTTGGCAAAAAAAAAAAAAAAAAGTGACATCCAGTCAGTTGCTTTTCCAGTAGAGCTTCTGGTGTTGGGATGCCCCGCTTCCCCGCTGGTCTTCAGAAGGGAGGAAGGGAGGATGGGGGGAGAAAGAGAGACTTACAATGAGGAGGTGTTGTATATAGAGAGAAATAGTAACAAATGTTGTGAACAAGCTGAAATGAGGAAATGCTGTAGAAATGGATTGTGAAACCACAGAAATATTAAAATAGGGATTTGCTCTGCTGATCAATGAGAGAAATTAAAGAAATGCAGAAAGTAACAACTTGAATCTGAATTTCAAGTGATCTACTAGTTAGCTGGGGGATTATTATTATTATTATTATTATTTACAAACTCAAATCTGAGGTTTTCTGCCCATATATGTGGCAGGAGAATTTCCTTTGGGCTGAGGAGAAGTGGGATTTCATGCCTGAGGAATTATGCTCAATCTGGAGAAGTTTAGGAGAATGGGACCCAGAAGGTGAACTTGGCACATTTAATTTCACTGCATAGAGCTTTAAGATGTTTGGTGTTGCATACTTGGACTTGGGTGATTTTACTTCTGCTCCAATCCCATGACATACTTAATTGTAACCCTTAATGTTTAATTTTTATTAAGTTCAGGATATATATATCTATATCTATATCTATATCTATATCTATATCTATATCTATATATATATATATATATATAGAGAGAGAGAGAGAGAGAGAGAGAGAAGGAAGCAACTTAGAACGAAGAAGGTATTTCCTGACAGTTAGAACAATTAATCAGTGGAGCAACTTGCCTCCAGAAGTTGTGAGTGCTCCAACACTGGAAATTTTTAAGAAGATATTGGATAACTATTTGTCTGAAGTGGTGTAGGGCTTCCTGCCTAAGCAGGGGGTTGGACTAGAAAACCTCCAAAGTC